TTAATATTTCATGTGAAACAAGCTAATGCGCATTGGGAGATAGTATGTAGGGACATGTGTTATAAACAATGTGACATGTTGGTAGCGCATGTGCTGAGAATAATATGTAGGGATAGCTCAAATCCTAACCCGAATCTGAGTACCTACTATTGCACAAATTTACCGCATTTTCTCATTTTGCTGGGCATCAACAGCTAACAAATTTTGAAAAGTTCTTCAGGCGATTGTTGTGATTTTGTGCACAGCCAACAAACAGTTTGCTCATCGGAACTGTTCTGATGGAGGCAGCTGGTGTGGCTTCGTCAGCTTCCAGAACTGGTTGGTTTCTGGCACGTTTCGCAGCAACTATTCAGTTCTGGATTGTGAGGAAACGCTATCCCACTTAATTGGGAACCTAGCTTTTTTCATGTGTTTTTTTCATCTATGTTTTATCTGGAAACTGTTCAGAAACAACCAAAAACCGGTATGGGCTTTAGTGGACAAGTTATTTGTGGCGGGTTTTTTGTGAGGTACATATTTTCCATTGCGGACGTGTCGGGAATTCCGTGAGCTCTGGGGACTGTCTTATATATCGGTTGGGTTTGTTTGGCTAATTTTTTGGTAGGAAATTAACATTTCTAGTGTTTGTTATTGAAGTCAATTTCAGGTAAAGAAGCCCTGGTGCACCACTCGCCGGGTAAGGCAACGCGGATGCCCGGTCGAATTATAAAGTGAATTTCTAAATTGCATTTTTACATTTTATTTAATTGAACATACATATCTTACAGTTTATCAGACACGGGCGGATCCAGGGCTGTTTCCTTGGGAGGGGAACGATTTGGGCGGTTTCTCTCTCCTGCCTTCCCCCTCCCATTCGTTACTACGTCAAAAGCCCCACTCTCCCTCTCCTCCCCGCTACCCACCCTTCTCCCTCGTTTATCACTCCTAGCGGCAGCGACCGTGGCGAAGGGGGAAGAAAAACAGCGGTGTTCCTGGGGATGAAGGGGGAAGGAGGGGAGCGATGAGGGTTGTCAAAAAAACACTTTTAGCACTGCTTCCTGTGTAGTTGGGAGGAGGAGAGGAGGGGGAGGGGGGCGAAACACTCACCCCCTCCCCCCTCCCCCTTAAAACCACCAGTGTTATCAGACGACTGACATGCAGGGCCCGAATACTCAAGGAAGTAAAATCTATGCAACTATTTTCACTCAGCGGAAGGCTTGTGAGAGAGGTGCATGTGTGGTGAATGATCCTGGGGATAATCTCCACAAAGATGGCTCACTTACGTGATGCGGAGAGTGAGTACTAGCTGGAACTCAGCTCAAGGCACACTGGGCATAACGATGACAGACTTTTGTGAACATTTCTGCAGTTTGATTTCACTTTTTATTAAAAGTCGGAGCAATTTTGATAATAGACTTTTTGATGCATGTTATCTGTGCTTCACCACGTAGGAAGCTATCACTCAAAGGTGCATTTGTAGAATGAGATTTTTTTTGCAGGATTAATTTTGATCCGCTGGTGATGCACGCAGTCTCACTGCTGAGTTACGAGCGTCTGATGAGGAGGTACAGCACCGCTGCGGGATTACCACCGCCAAATCTGCCGGCATTCAATTCGGGGGAAAAAGCCTTGGCAAGTGCGTAAGTACTTGCAAATTTGTTCAACGAAATT